TACCTGTGAAACAATAAAATAAGCTTAAAACAGCAAAATAACAATGTAATAAGAATTTTTTTATATATATGTATCATTTATATTTCTTACATGAAGTACGGTGATCTAAATGTTATCTAAAAAGATATATTATAAGGTGATATAGGTATATTAAATTTTCTCATTTTTTTAAATTTGTTATTAGATTTTCAAAATTTACATCACTTATTTTATTTTTACTCGTACAACACTTGCACGTTAATGTTATTAATCTATTTTTATGTAGATCCTGATGTAAAATATTTATAGGAGTAGAAATTGAGATTCTTGTATCAAATCTATTACAATTATTTGTAACAACTTGTAAACTGTTTAGCTTTTTGCACTTTAATTTACATTTTATCAGTTATAAAACTTTGATCCTGATACCCTATAAATTAACAAATGATACATTAAACCTAATAAGTAATTTAACAGTAAACGTTTATACGAAACGCTATCAAAGGTTTTTAACACCCTAAAATACAGCAGCTGTTTACGAACATCATTTAAACCTTTGTAAACACATTCTGTTAACCTAGTAAAGTTATTAAAAAACTCAATTCGATAATTTTTTAATCAAATATAATTTATATTTTTGTCTAATAGTTTACCTAAAAAACTTGCTAAACTGATTGGCTCATAATTATAGGTATTCTTTTTTTCAACAGATTTGAATATTACAAATATGTCGTACAGGAACATATCATAGTAATCTTTCTTAGTCATGAACATGTGCCAGTTTTGGCACATGAATCGGTGTCAAAGTATTCTTCTTTATCGGTATTCGGTCCATGTTTTGGACAAGGGAGAGTCAGATTCAGCATTGCCCTCTTCCTCCCTTTCAGAAATTATTATATTGTTTGCACCCTTACTGAATCCTAGGTAATAACCCTTGTTACGTTGTTGCATTACTCACAGCATTTTATATTTTGCCTATTGTCCGCAGTTTTAATTCACATACCCTTTTTGTACCATGTCCAAATCATGGGGTAATATTAACTTGTATGTTTTCACTAGCTTCACTTATGCATGATCGCACTATAAGTTCGTGTTCACAATACAGTTCCACTTAGGAATTATATATACACACACACACACATAATTCCATTTTTACATACAAAACCCTTTTAAAATAGAGCTATGTTTGTGTCTAGGATTCAATTAGCCTAGCACTGTGTGGCCTGCAAGTTTCTTATTTATGTTGTTTAGAGGGGAGAGGTACTTAGGGCTTGGATCATAATGTATTATGTAACTCTCCAGTTTGCTCTTCAGTTCATTTTTATTAATATTTTATATAATATTGAAGCGAGGTATTTAGGAGTCTGTCTGATAGTGTTGACATGTTTGAATAGTTGTGTAGAAATGCTGAATTTGTTGATCGTGGGACTCTATATGCTTTCTTTAAAATATAGTTTTGTATTTGCTGTAATTTGTTGATGTGTATTTTTGATACATTTATTCATGTTATACAGGAATATTCTACAACTGGTCTTATGTATGTTCTATAAATTTTTAATATATATTCTGGTGAAGCTCCTTTTTTTTCAAAATTCTGATTTTTATGCTATTAATGTGTGGTATACAGTTTAATTTTGAGTCAAATGTAATCCCTAAAAATTTTGCTGATGTTACTACCTGTAAGAGAGTCCCGTCTAGATATAAATGTGGTATTAATTTGCTTGTTTTATACGATTTTGTAAATAATATGACTTGTGTTTTGTGCGCATTAATTTTAATTCTCCGCTTATTGCAGTACAATTCTATTTCGTTTACTAGTGGTTGTATATTGTATGTTGTTGTTGGGTTTGGGGCACACTTCCAGATTGCAACACCTTCTGCGAACTGCTAGCAAAAAGTGTTGTTTGGGTCTTTAAGAGGCATGTCAATCAATCAAAGGTCTTCATCGGTGTTTCGGCCGCGACCTTTGGAGGAGTCAGGTTCATTTTTGTACCTTTTCCCCTTCTATAGAGTTGTTTATGTTTGTTTCAGTAAATGTTAATGTTGTATTTACACGAACGCTGTAGCATGCATTAGGTTATTTCATCCGACCCTTTTCATAAAGCCATGTCCATGTATAATACACTGTTAACATTTGTGCGTGACCAAGACTTCACTGACGCCAGGCCGTGCAGTTGTCCTGCACACTCATTAACAGTTCAATAGTTACTCGCGCGCTTTTCACTAGTTTAACTTACTATAAGTGTATTTAAACATATACCCTTTAATAAACTTATAATATTTTATCCTAATGATAATGTAAGTACTAACTGTAGGTGACTTATTTATTATAGTTAATGTAGCTAATTAATGGGGTAGGCAACATTCCATCATGTATGACGTATCTCATAATTTCTGTCAGTAGATTGTTCTTATACAGATTTTTATGGAAATATTTCATTGTCCAAGCTGAAGTCTGTCAGATATGTATGATGTGTTTGAATGATTATGCACTTCTTGGTATGAGATATGATGTAGTTAATATTTTGTTTTGAATAGCTTGCAATTTATTTTTGATTATGTTTTGTGATATAATGTACTAGGTACAATTTGGTACGTTGTGATATAATGTATTAGGCCGGACTGACATATGATGTATAGAGTTTAAGAATGATTTTAGCTGTATACCTTTGTTTCGTCCTGACAGACTACTCCTAACATAATTTACCCGTTTCCATGCTGTGTTTGTTACGTCATTTATATGTTTATTCCAATTTAGTTTGGAATCATATGTGATTCCGAAGAATTTTGCTGATGTGGCATTCTGGAGGCGAGTTCCTTGCAAATATTTGGGGATATTTTGACATTTTAGTTGATTTTATCAATAGAAGTAGTTGTGTTTTAGGTTTGTTTACTTCAATTCTGTATTTCTGTTAAGATGAGGTTGTAAGTTAGTTGCTGTTATTGTCGGAATTAGAGAGCTTTTCCAGATTTCCACACCGTCCACGAATTGTGAGGTAAACCCTTCATTCGGGTCGATTAGGGGTATGTTACTGACATACACGATGAAAAATATTAGGCTAACCACCCCTCCCTGGGGGACTCCGCCTCTAGAATAAAATACTCTGAATAGGTTCTCTCTACATTAATTATACACTTTCTGTCTCCCAGAAAGTTGGACAACCACTTAGTTCCATTTCTAATACAGTTATGCCATACAGTGTCGAATACTTTCTCGATATCGAGGAAGCAAGCGACAGTGCATTCTTTTTTGTTAAATCTATCAATCAGTGTTTCTGTTAACCTTACCGGGTGATCTACTGTTTGTCTAGATTTTCGGAATCAATTTTCTTTGATATTTCAAAATATGCAGTTAATTTACTTCTAATTATACATTCTAAAATTTTTCCTAAGCAACTGGTCAGGCTGATTGGTTTGTAAGTATCTTGGTTTATTCACTGGTTTTCTCTCATATGGAACATGAGAATATTTGCTTTCTTCCAAGAGGCCGGGACATATTCTGTTAAGTGGAAAACAAAAGATGAGGGCCTTTTTTAAGTATTATAGCTTAGCTTTGATACGTTTGAGTTTACTGTATTATAAGATCTACATTCCTTCTTAGCCCGTTAGAACATGGTACAGTTAAATGACATCATTTGCTGAAATATAGAATTGTGAATATTAGAAACTAAGTGCGAGTAAACATGAGGTATTCATTTATACCTGGCTAAAAGAAATGCAAAGATCACTTATACCTGGCTAACAGGAATACAAAGATCACTTATACCTGGCTAAAAGGAATACAAAGATCACTTATACCTGGCTAAAAAGAATACAAAGATCACTTATACCTGGCTAAAATGAATACAAATATCACTTATACCTGGCTAAAAGGAATACAAAGATCACTTATACCTGGCTAAAAGGAATACAAATATCACTTATACCTGGCTAAAAGGAATACAAATATCACTTATTCCTGGCTAAAAATAATACAAAGATCACTTATACCTGGCTAAAAAGAATACAAAGATCACTTATACCTGGCTAAAAGGAATACAAAGATCACTTATACATGGCTAAAAATAATACAAAGATCACTTATGCTTGGCTAAAATGAATACAAATAACTTTTCGAATTTAGTAGTCATATTTATATATAAATAAACACCTGCTTGAAGATGTATATATTTTCTGCCCCAGTTGTTGACTTGACTAGATCCTTAGCTGACTTAATAATTTATTTTTCCAGTGGCCTCTTAAACAGATGGTCTATATTATTTAAACATATCCAAGATCTCTTCCACGTTACTTACGCAGCAACATGGGAGAGGTTATCAAGTCATTTCTACTGGGGGTTTCTTTTTTGTTTTTTTATCCAACCCATATAAAACTGTTAAAACGCACCCAAATATGATAATAAAACAAAAATGTTTCGTAAAGAAATCAGAACCTTAAGAATGCGAAGTAAAAATAATACTATATGTTCTACAATTACGAAGAACTTTCTAAGTCGTTTAGGTTTCGCTTGAAGAAACATTTATTTGTCTGCTACCGTTGGTCTGTTAATTCAGAAAGAAACACCCACACACTAATATATAAATATATTGTTTCAGTACATTCTGTTGTATTTCACGTAAACAGCTATTTATATTGCAACATCCGTCTGCTACCAGTGTACTAAAATCTGATAAGATACGATAAAATCAAAGAAATAATATTCTAAATCGTAAATCATACAAATTAGTTCAAATAATGGAAGTGTTTTTTTTTTTACTGGATTTCTTTTGCCTACAGTTTTTCTTTCTACTTGAGATGACGATTCGGGTTCTCTGGAGAGCTCCTTACTTTAAGTTGGTATCTTTGTTGATATTCACGACTTTCTCTTTACCAAAAGAATACACATATATTTAAATAATGGTTGCAACTAAAAAAACTATAATTGTACATTTTTTTCATCACCTCTTTCAACCACTTCTTCCACAGAGGGCGCAACCAGTTTTCCCTTACTGCTTTATCCTTGTCTCACGGAAGCAGTTTGAGTTAAAACGACACACGAACTTGCAGACATACAGAAACTACACTTGGTAAGCTAAAAAACGTTTTTATTGGCGTAGTTTTTAAATTATGTTATTTCTTTATTTTGAATATTCGTTGAATTTTTCACAAGTATAGAATTACAATGATGTTCAAATCTACTCATTATTAGGAATCGAAGTTTGAGATTTTGTTATGGTGAAATTCCGATAATGAGCATCGTCTTTATAAATCATAATCTGTTAATGGAGTGAAACAAATATTGCTATTCCTTTAATGCATCTTATGAAGGTGGACCTATAATGTACATATTCATTTTTATAGGACAGAAATGCAATCTAGTACTACAACACTGAAATCAAAGAGCGGAAACAGATTTAAAATGTTATAAAAATGTGAAAGAGATATGATAGACAGGTAGAAAAGTTTAAACATCTGGTTTCTCTTAGAATGATCCATACAATGTTACTAACTGTATCTAAGAAAAAAGAGATTTCACAAAACATTCAGAATTTCATGTTGCTATTTTAGAGTAATACTATTTTCAATATGTTTTGCGAGTTACATATTATTTTAAAATTATTTTTATAATTTCTTTTTATAAATGTTGAGTGTGTATAATATAGTATTAGTTTACCTGAAATTTCTAAAAATACTAGTAAATGCATTTTATACATTGAACTGGTTTGTTTTAAGTGAAAAGCTACACTATGGAGTATTTGGAGTACGAGTATCGAATCCCGAATTTTAGCTTACCATTGAACCACCATGAAACTTATATGGTGGAGAATTCTAGCTATAAGCATAGATCATTCCGTATAAAATATTGTATAGTGCTATGCTAATTTATTAGCACATTTATAACTATCCCATTGTTCTAATAGAGGTCTCCTGGTGAGACAGCGGTATGCTTACGAACTTGCAATACTAAAATCTGGTATTATATTTTCCGCGGTGGACACAGCAGATAGCCTAATGTGGCTTTGCTCTAAAATAAACAAAATTTTTTAGAAAGCTAAAATAATATGATGGTTATCCCATAAGAAATAAACAAAAACACATTCCATTAACCGTTAGTAGATAGTTGAGTAAATCTTTTAACTAAGCAATTATTTTGAGAACATAATAAGATAGACGAGGGTTATTCCTATGGTAGAGCTCTGGATTACGGAGATGGCGAGCCACGTTCGCATACGTACGCTACCACAATATAATTCCGTCACTTACGTTGTAGGTACGTTATAGGAGCGACTGTCAATCCCCTAGCATGCATGTAGAGTGGAAGGGTGCAGCTGACTGGCTGTCTTTCTTCTGCCCAGTAGTTTAAAATTAGGGGCGGTGGTAAATGACTTTAGTATATTTGACACGGATATAAAAAGGCAGTAACATCAAGAAACAGTTTCTGAACTGGTCAACCAAATGTTTTTTCATTTCAAAAAACAACAAGAAACAAACAACTAAATTATGTCTATTTGAAATTGAAAAATTCATGAAAGAAAGAATATTATGCATTTGGCAAACATATAATTTCAATGAAGACTGGAATGAAACAAAGAGATCATAATATATTTTTCTTGTTATAAATTCGTCATTCTATTGTTAATAATGAACATTTATTTTAGTGAAAATATATCCCACTAACCTCGCAAACTTAATTTTTATATTCAATCTACAGTTTTACCAATAGTTGTGTTGAGGTACAAATAAACGTTGTGTTTAACGCGCTCAGATACGTTCTATAAGCGCATTAGTAGCTAGTGGTGAAATATGCGATGGCATGGAATAACTTATAACAAAACAAATGTGACAACATAACCGATTTAGAAGTACCGAGAAATTTACAGATGTTCTACAGTACGTGACTTGAAACACCCACGGAATTTGCTTATCTTAAAGATTACATCTCGTAACAAGATAAACCTTAATGATGAATAATAAAATTAGTATCATAATTCAATATCCTAAGTCCATGATGTCAGAAAAACACGTAGGTTCAAGAAGTCTTAAAACAAAACGATAAAAACCATATAACCTGAGCGTTATAGGGTATTTCATTAAAACTGGAACAGCTATCCATACTACTTAGGATATTCAACTATTTAACTCAAGGCTAATTTCATTTGTTGAACATTATTAAAACTCTTTTGTAATTTCTGTGAATTCTAGCAAAATGAAAAATACGTTTACCATTTTAATAAATGTATTAAAATAAAATTTAGCCAGTACACTTTGGAGTATATGCTATGACAGAGGTATCGTTGTTTTTGTTTACTGTTTGTTGAATTTCACGCAAGCATACAAAAGGGTTATCTGCACTAGCCGTCCTATAAGTTTGAAATGATAGATTCGAGGGAATGCAGCTAGTCGATATTTGTTTATTTGTAATTAAGCACAAAACTACACAATGGACTGTCTGTGCTCTGCCCACCACGGGTATCGAAATTCGGTTTCTGGCGTTATAAGTCCGCAGACATACCGCTGTATCATTGGGAGGCAGTCAACATTTCCCACCGCCAATTTGTGGGCTACTGTTATTAGACCAAATAATGTGATGAGACCATTACCCTCATAATGCACTCACGGCCCGAAAGTATTTAATGTGATATTTTTCTTTATTTTTTCGGCGGCTACGTGACGTAATCCATGGAAACCAAGATACCCGGCTATAATTTTTTAAGAATTATTAGTAACAAAATAACGACTTGTCCGGTTTTTTTTCTCGTTGTTATATTGCTATTGTTGATATGCATTGAAACTGAAAATAATTTAACTATTTTGAAAATTCCAGAAAAAATGTACGAGAATTATTTTAAAACAACAAGCCCCCAACGGTTGAGCAGTAAGTCGGAAGGCTTATAACTCTAAAAACCGGGTATCGATACCCGTGATTGGTATAGCACAGGTAGCCCATTATGTAGATTTTTGCTTAATAACAGCAAACAAACAAATATATATATATATATATATGTAATTAAACGTTTGGAATTACGTTCTTATATCTATGATAAAACTGAATAAGAAATTCAACTTTTATCTTGGAATATAAAAGCAGTGCCAGTGCTTTAAATATCTTATACACACATTATACAAGCTTTGTGGTACATTAAATTATCAGTGAGTATTCTAGGTTTTTTTTCCCTTATGCTTTTCCTCACCGACATAATGCTCCAAAGTAATACTATGTAAATAATGTATTCCAATTAAAACATTAAATATCAGAACGTTAAGAAGCCACTGATTACAGTTTAGTTTTACAGAATAATAATAAAATCGATAAATTTCATTAAATATGTGAATAATTTTGATAAATAATTTCACCTATATTAGAAGCAGAAGAAACCTATCTTTTCAACGTAATGATAAAGTTCATAAGCATTTGCTTTACGTATGTTATTTATACTTTCAGTTAGAAAAACCCAAAAACACGCTTATGCATCTAGTCATGTTTCCTGCTTTGGTTATTAAATTTTGGTATTAAGCACGTTAAAATGTTTTAAAGCAAGTCCTAGTGAAATGTACTTCAGTGTTACCATAGCTTCTGCTCTTCATAAACTGTATTATATTTCACGTTTGTTTGCTTAATCAGTAAAATATAGGAACACCATGTTCTCCTACCAACTGTAGTGACATAATGTGTTTAAATTATTGATTATCTAGCTTCCTCAGTGTCAAGGATGCAACACGTGGTTCAAGATGTCTAATATTATATTGTTCTAGCCTCCTCAGCCGTTTGTTCTCTTGTAAGATAACGTCTTCTGCCTGCATGAATATTTGAGTATATTTCGAGCTTGGATTAAAACAATTTAGAATTGAAATATCTTTTGCCCGCCTGATTTTTGACGTCAACTGAACCTGATAGTTGACTCATGCTATCAAGAAACAGAGGCCACTAGGTGATGATGTCCACTGGACAAAGAAAGCAAGCTGATGTTTGAAATCCAGAAGCTTTCTTTGTATCAGTTTTGCAGAAAGAAGACATTTCGAAGTTAGTTCAGCATTTTGATTGTTGAGATAATCCATCTTGCGGGAAGGAAAGCTTCAGGCTAACAGTCGCATAACACAGAGTAAGGACTGTTCTTTGTCTCACGTGGGTACGCGCTCAGTATCCAACGTTTTTGTGTTGCAATTATTAAATATTTTGTTCCTTTAATTTATTTACACTATTTAAATACTAACCTCGAAAACCCAATCGAATACTCTTATACGGAAAGTTCACATAAATCACTTGCTGTTATTTGCTGGTATTTGTATTAGAGAAACTTGTAAAGAAGTCAGTTTGATCTGAAAATACCACACTTATAATCAAGTATTTGGATAAAATACGTCGAAGTACAACTTTCTATATATATTCTAGCAGAGTTATGGGTTTTCTGTTAAAGCATGGAACTTGATACAATTCTAGAATATGACCTTGTGATCGTTTTTGATAAGGACTCTCATTTCAAGAAATTGCAAGCTTTTGCGGCTTTGTGGGCTTTAATAAATATAGATCCAACAAATATTGTAATGAACAGGTATAGTCTCCAAAAATCAGACACCTTGTCTTGAAACAATTATCATATTTCTAAAATGTCTGCAATTTCCAAGATGGCAGCCGGGAAGGTTACATTTTAATCCCTTATATGGTTTTATAATTTCATGGTCTGCGATGGACATGGAGTTTGTATTTTAAGGCTAACTTTTAGTCCGTAAGGGAAAGAAACGTAGCCTTAAAACAAATATTGATTTATATGTTTCTCGAAAATGGTTTCTACAGCATTAAAAACTTGAGATTGCTCGCGAACTAGTATGAAACATAGCGAAGCGGACGACACCTTCTAGATTAATTAAATAATAATAAATAATATATTAAAATAAATAAATAAATAAAATTAACATGTGATGTTATACATGTTGCTGATAACTGGAAGTTCTTCCATAAAAAACATGTTCAAGATAATGCTGACAAGAAGTCGAAACATGCAGATACTTCTGAAGTAACATACAATTCTATTTGACAATAAATTAAATCAACTCAGTCTTTGCAGAGATCTACTTCCAATTCAGTCAT